ATTCAGGAAACACTGTGAAAGGTGACTTATGAACCTGACTCCTTTTTGTTCTACTTCTGCAACCTAGGAGAGACGGAGGGAGTTGGGGATATGAAGCGGGCACTCGAGGAGGAGAAAGGACCCGGCACCAGATTTCAAGATGACTAAAGACAGGACAACAGGAAATCGGTATAATTCATAGGAATCGGATTGAATAAAAACTTTCGGGGCACCTGGGTGGCTCAGTCGGTTAAGCGTCTGCCTTCGGCTCAGGTCATGATCTCGGGGTCTTGGGATCAAGCCCCTCATCAGGCTCTCTGCTCGGTGGGGAGTCTGCTTCTCCCTCTACCACTCCCCCTACTAGTGTTCCCTCTCTCTCTCTGTCTCTCTCTGTCAAATAAGTAAATAAATAAAATCTTAAAAAAACAAACAAAAAAGCAAAAAAAAAACTTCCCGACCTCGAGGATGCCAGGGTGTTGAGGAGCTGAGCAACAGTTAAGAAAGGGGGAGATTGGCAGGCACCCAGGTGGCCCCATCGACTAAGGTCCGCCTCCCGGTTCTGGCTCAGGTCATGGCAGCATGGGTGGTGGGATGGAGCCCCAGGGCAGACTCCCTGCTCCACCGGGGGGGTCTGCCTGAAGCTCCTCCCCCTCTGCTCCCCAGTCTCTCTAAAATAACTAAATAAATCTTAAAAACAAACAAACAAACAAAAGGAAGGCAGGAAGGCAGGGGCAGTCTGGGCTTGCACATGCACGTCTAGGCAGCTGTGCCGGGGCTCGACGCCACAGCTCGGCGCAGCACCCAGCCCAACAAGACACCCTCCCCACAGCACCCAGAACCTGCCCGCGCTGGGTGACCTCCGCATTCCTCACTTATAGACCCAGGCCTGGGCACGTGCTTGTGAAGAGCGGCTGCGTGCTTCCTGCCATCTTGTCCCCAAAACGACAGGGGAGGACACTCCACATCCAAGCGGGGCAGCTGCCCCATGTGAGGCACTGAGTCCCGCGTCGAAGGACCGGAGGCCGGCTCTGACGTCAGCGTTCCACACGGCCCAGTGTTCGCAGGGTCCCGCGGCCGGCTCTGACGTCAGCGTTCCACACGGAATGCTGGGGAACGTTCCGTGTGGACGTTCAGCCAGCTCCCCTGCAGACCCATCTTCCTGCTGTCTTCACCGTCGAAAGCTCGCTTTTCCACACACCGTTCCCATCTGCCCATCTCTCAGGATCAGGGCAATCTGTTCCATCGGACAGTGGAGAGTTAGGGGTGTCCCCTATGCGGGGCGGATGGGCAAACAGCTGGCTTTGCCAGGTTCCCTGTCCCCTTCTTTCTATTGTTCTGCCCAAGTGGCCCTGCACCTCACTGCCCCTCCTCTGCCCCCCACGGTTCTCGGGGGGTCACTCCCGGACGCCCCTCCTTCTGCCACAGGTCAGGCTTCCCATGGCCTGCCCGAAGCAGGTGCCATCAGCTGCACGGTGAGCTGCCCGGAGCTGCTGGCCCTCCCAGCGATGCTGGCCCCACAGCCTCCTGCGGGCGCCAGGGACGGCAAGAGCCTTCTCCAAAGAACAGACACGACAACACAAAATCATTAGGAAAGGGCCATCTTGTCTGCATGACGACGCGGCAAAAGTCCCTCCTGACCGGGTGCCGCGACGGGATCTCAACACCGTGACCCCGAGCACAGCTCCACGGTTTCAAGGACACTGCGGCCTGAAACTTTGAGCTGCCCAGACGGCGGAGAGAAGCTGTTTGATTTATGAAGTGGGTCAACCGAGAAGAGTGACGCGAAAGGAAAGAGGTCAGCTCGGGATCTGCTCCCTCCTTGTCCCGTCGGGTTTACGGATGCTTCTCCTTTAGCAGGAAGCCAAGAGCCACGAGTTGGAAGATTGTCCTGGAACATCACCGAGCTTGGACATAGGGAAGTCTGAAAGAGGTCCACGTTTTCTCTTGGATGTCCTCAGTTTACTTCAAGGGCATCATACACAGATGGAGGCTTCCAGAACTCCGTTTACCACCAGACAAGGTCTGATTCCACACACAAGTCAGAAGAGAGATTCTCAATCGTGGGTTCATACAATAGAGGCAGGGGGACGTGGAACCGCGCATTGACTGGACGTTCTCTGAGCAAGCACCGTGTGGAGAGCACGCCCGTGTCATCACACGCGTCTATTCAACGAACACTGAGCCCGCGTCATGTCCGAAACACCGACAGACAGTGGCAGGCAAAAATGAGCCAAACGGTCCAAATCCTGGCTCCCGCTGACCTCACGTTCCCGTCGAGGTGGAGAGAAACAAGGGTATCCGTCCGCCGGTGGTGAATATGACCAAGCAGAAGAAAGCCGCTGGACGGATGCTAGAGAAAACCTCCCGAGAAACGCGGCGGGAGGACCGGGGCTGCATCAGAGGCAGCTGCGCTGGACGGCGTCTCTGACTGCCGTCTGGTGACAGGAGCAGCACACGGTCCCGTGTGCCCCGTGCAGGACGGGGAGATCCATGGCGCTCTAAGACCCACACCGCGACTCTCGCCCCACAGAGCCAGGAGGAAGGGCTCTCCCCGGACTCTGACAAGGTTCCACCGTGAGCGAGAAGGCTGGGACGTGAACTCAGGAGTGCACAGCCCCGCGCTCCTGGGCTGGGAGAGAAATGGAGCCTCGGAGGTCAAGTGCTCCCGGGCTCACAAAGTGGCAGGCCCGCGGGCCTGTCCATGCGGGGCGAGAGCTGAGTGCCATTCAGTCTGACCCCCTATGGGACTATTACTCTCATCACCGGCTGAAAACCGAGCCTTCCTCTGAAATGAGGAGAAAGACGATGTGGGCTCTGCAAGACCAGCTAGTAAGTGAACATGTCCCACTCTTGTCCCCCCCAGCCCCCCAGGCCCCCAACACAAGATGCCGTAGGAGAAGGAAACAGGCTTTGCTACTCATTCTCCTGGCTGCCGGTTCCCAGTGGAGAACAGACAGATGCAGAACAGGAAGATGAGTGAGCCGCCGCTCCCCAGGGCCACACGGCTCTGGAGGTGGAGCGGAGGGGACAGGCACTGAGAAAAGGTCAGCAGCAAGGAGAAAGGAGGCCCTCCCTAGCCCCGTTTCAAAGAAAGCACAGCCCTCCCGTCCTAACATGCAGTGGCTGGGTGGTGGCGGGGTGAGGGGACAGGGAGGGGGATGGGGAGTGCTTCCTTGAGAAGCAGGGGGCAGGAAAGACAGATGCCCTGGGAGCAGGTCTGAGGCACTCCTGATGGGAGGGAGAGGAGAAGGAGGCTTCTGCTTCTAGCACAGAAGTCCAGAAAGGAAATACCACAGCCAAGGTCAAAGGGTGTTTGCAGAATTGCTGGAAATCCCAGGCTGGGGAGTCCAGGCAAGAGAGTGGAGGATTCAAGGAAAGGAGAAGCCGGAGCAGACTTCCACATGATTTCAACCGAAGGTCACGGTTTGGACCCTCCCGTTTTATTGTACGTCAACCCCCACAGCCACAGGGACCCGTGACCAGGGTTAATCAACTACCAAGGTGGGAAGGGAAGACAGGGGTCCTTCTAGGAGCAGAGCACATTAAGGGGAGCCAGGAATTCCATCGTATTATACCCCACCAGACCCTCTGCCCACCAACACACACACACACACAGAATGAAATTCAACACCGTGTCTCCCTCCCAGCAACTTATCAACTTATCACCTTGTCTCCAGCAAGCCCGGTCTCCTGGCCCAACACAGCACCAAACAAATTATGCTCTGAATGTCAAGAAAAACTGTGTCACCTAGAGAAACCCAATTAACGACATGACTCTGTTCTTCTCAATTCCCCTCTCCCCCTCCCGGCGTATCCGGGGCACCGGTGTGGCTGACCCCCTTTTCCCACTACTGGCCACGTTCCCTGGTGACTCCAAAGCCAGACGGATGAAACAGGGGCTTCGGGAGAAGCCGACCGAGTGACGAGCGACGGGGTATCCTGCAGCCCCCCACACCCTGGCCTGTGGCAGAAGCCCCACGGACACAGCAAGAACACAGCACCTGAGCGGACAGTCCCTGGAGGGTTCACCTTGAAGTCCTACGCTGCTCCTCAAGCGGCACTCTGCTGAGAGCTCCCAAATGGGGGCGGCACGTGCCCCGGGATGGACAATAAATAGGTGTTTCCAAGAAATCCCTGCCGTGGTTGTTTCCTCCGACCCCCTTTCCTGATGAGCCCCTCCCCCGAGAGACCTCCATTACCTCCCCCCCGCCCCACCCCCGCTGCTCTCCCAGGCTCCCCAGACCGCCGGCAGCGTGTGTCCCGGCGAGTCCATACACTCCAACGTCCTCCCAGCGGCCGCGCCGGGGCCTCGCGCGCGGACCAGCCCCCCGCCCCCGCCCCGCAGCGCTGCCGAGGGGGCCGTGCGAGCCGCGGGGACCCTGAGACCGGAAATGCCTGGTTCTGGACGGCTGCGCCGAAACGCAAGAGGAGGCGCGCGGAGAGCCGAGCCCCGGGACCAGGGCGACCGCAGCAGGCGCGGGGTGCAAGGGGAAGGCCGAAATGCCGGCCAGGGGAGAGGGGCATCCAGGGGTGGGCGAGCAGGGGGAGCTGTCAGGGCAGGGGCAAAGTCAAAACCTGAGGCGCCGAGAGCGGGAAGGAGGAGGAGGAGGAGGAAGAGAAGGAAGGAGACACAAGTAAGGGCAAGGCTGGCAAGAGGCCCGGACGAGGGCCGGGGCCGGGGAGGGGCGCCGGCGGCGAGACTCTGCAGGTGGCGGGGCTGGGGCAGCGGGGTGGGGGAAGGGGGTCCGGGGCCCGCGTGCAGGCAGAGGTGGCCGGGGAGTGTGGGGGCGGGGCAGCACAGGGCGGGGACCGACCCGGCTCCCGGAATCTGCAGCGCGTGCACGGAGAAGGGGAGCCGAGGGCGGGGGCCCCGCAGCGGCGGGCGCCAGGGCGACGGGCGGGGGGCGCCGGGGTCGGCAGAGGGGCGCCCGGGGGGCACGTGAGGCGGGCGGCCGCGGCGCTCCCCGGCGGCGGGGTGGGGGGGGCAGGAACCGGGGCGAGGCTGGGGGCGGCGCGCTCACCCGCAGGGCTGACAGGTCGATGTCGTCCAGGCTGCGGGCGGGGGCTGGGTCGCCCATGGCCTCCGCGGGCAGCCGGGCCCCGGGGCCGCTCACGCTCCGGCTCGGTTATTCCGCTGCCGCCGTCGCCGCTTCTCCCCCATCGGGGGATCCCGGGGGCGGACTCCGCCGCGCCTCCCCCGGAGGACGCGGAGGGGGAGGGCCGGCGGGAGGACCGACCCACCGACTGACAGGAGCAAGCGCCCGGAGCCCGCAACCCGAGCCTCCCGCCGCTCCTGCGCAGGCGCGGAGTGGCCGAGCGCCGGGAGGGTGGACGAGGGAACGTGACGCGGGCGCGCCGGGTTCCCCTCCCCCTCGGCGCCGACACCTGCGCGCAGGCGCAGGAGAGAGCGCGAGCGCGGAAGGCGCGCTCGAGGGCCGAGCGACCGCGCGAGCCTGGCAGGCAGAAGTGGGCGGTGGCCGGGCGGCCGCGGAGCGCGCCCACCGGCCGGCGCGCGTGCGCACACGCGTTTCCTTCCCTTCCCCTGTTTTGCCCTTTCTCTCCCCCATTTCCTTCTTCGCTCTCCTTTGACGCTTTTCCTTCCCTTTCCCTCCTCTTTCGCGTGCCCCGCTGCCAATCAAGCTACCCACCTCTATTTGCGGGGGCAGGGGGGCGGGGCCCAACCCCCCATTACTAGGGGGGTTGTTATGGTAACTCCCCACGCGAGGGCTGGGTGGCCTCTAGAAAGGATGGGCTGTCCACCCACCTAATTGCCATGGCAACGGTGGATCCACCGAGGGAGGGGCCTCGGGCTGAGAATTTGGCTAGAGAAACCGCGTGGGAGTTGGGCGGGGGCGCCGGGAGCCTCGCGGGGGGTGGCGGCATTTACCCCCTTACCTGGCTGGAGTCGGGAGTGTTGCAGGGGGTACCCGAGATCTCAAGACGGGAATCCTCCCGCACACCTTTGTCTCTGCACAAAGGCTCTGTTTCAGCAATTACTCATTGACCGATCACCGGAGCCGCGCGTGGGGGAAGGGGTGGCCGCAAGAGGCGGAGGAACCTATGTCCAGCCCCTCCAGATCTTGCACGGGTCACCTTTGTCTAGTGTGCGCGCAGCACCCACAGCTGTTAGCCTCACTGGAGCCTGGGTGACGCTATGAGAAGAACCAGGAGTCATGTTCTGCCACTGTCACGCTGTGTGACCTTGAGCAAGTTGCTTTGCTTCTCTGGGCTTTTCTTTCCCTGCGAAGTTGAGGAACAAGGTTGTTTGCTCCCCGAGATCACTTCCAGCAGTACGGTCTCCGAAAGACCCCACAGCCCATCTTAATGCAAACATCGCTTAGCAGAGTTTGAATGAAAAGTCCTTAGAAAGGGGATAACACCCTCCTTTCTGGATCCTTTAACACATTTGGATGCACGTCCCGCTTTGCTACCCTCCCCTCCTGTTTGCCTTGCCCTTGTCCACGCCACAAACCCCGCTTACCTCCATCACTCTCTATCAGCCACCTACTTGGTCTCCTTGCCTGGACCCCCTTAAGTCAGTTCTCCATACCCACAGTGATTTTTCGAAAACTCAAATCTGATGTTCAGTGTCCTGTTTGAGACCCTTCACTGCGCCCCTACTTTTGAATCAAGTATGGCATTGAAGACCCTTTGATTCTGCCTGCTTCTCCTGCACTGTTTTCAACACTCTGCCATCCGATCTCACATGTTCTACCCATAGTGAAATCTACTCACAGCGGCTGGAACCCAGCTCTGGCTCCTTCAGCCTGCACACCTGCTGTTTCTCCCTGAATATTCTGACCACGCCCACTCTGCCTACGCCTTGCTTTGCCCTACATATCTAAATCACCGCCTCCGTGAAGCCTTCCTTGATGTGCCAAGGCTCAGTCAAACTCTTCTAACTGCCTGGTTTAAACCCATGGTGACACTGGAGTCTTTGAATTGTAAGTGTCTGTCGCATCTCCATAAAGGCAGGAATCCTGACAGCCTTGTTCGGTGCGGGTCTTGGTGCCCATTAGAGGTTCAGTAACATGTTAAATGAATGAAGGCATCTGTCCTTTGGGCAGACACTGGATATATGGTAATGCAAGATCAAGTCCGTGGGATAGCAGGAAAAAATAGAATTTGAAGTTAGTCCTTTGGGCAAGTCAATCTCTGAGGTTCAATTCTATCATCTATGAAATAGAGAATAGATTAGGATAAAATTAGATATGTAAAGCACTTGGCATACACTAGGTCCTCAATACACTTGCTTATGCCTGCCTCATAGGCAGTGTTTAATAGAGATACTGAGGGGCGCTTGGGTGGCTCAGTCGGTTAAGCATCTGCCTTTGGCTCAGGTCATGATCCCGGGGTCCTGGGATCAAGTCCTGCTTTGGGCTACCTACTCAGCGGGGAGTCTGCATCTCCCTTCCGTCTGCCTGCTGCTCCCTCTGCTTGTGCTCTCTCTCTCTCAAATGAATAAAATCTTTCAAAAAAAAATAAAGAGATACTGAATCAATGAGTGAGCTGATGAAGACAGCAGGGATAGTTTAGTCCCCCAGACTTCAGGGGTTTGCAGATAGACAGACAAGACAGTTCGAAGCAGAAGCCCTCCCAGCCCCAACCCAGCTCGGGACACCTGCTGTCTCCACCATCCCCCTCCACCGTTAATGAGGTAACGGTCCCCTTGGGAAAGAGGCACTTACTGCTGGCAATGAGGCTAATTAGCAGGATGCCAATTAGCACCAGGGGACCGCTGTATGAGGGAGGGGGGATTTCTTTTTTTTTTTTTTTTAAGATTTTATTTATTTATTTGTGAGAAAGAGAGAGCACAACAGGGGGAGCAGCAGGCAGAAGGAGAGGGAGAGGGGCGCCTGGGTGGCTCAGTGGGTTAAGCCGCTGCCTTCGGCTTGGGTCATGATCTCAGGGTCCTGGGATCGAGCCCCGCATCGGGCTCTCTGCTCAGCAGGGAGCCTGCCTTCTCCTCTCTCTCTGCCTGCCTCTCTGTCTGCTTGTGATCTCTGTCTGTCAAATAAATAAATAAAATCTTTAAAAAAAAAAAAAGAAGGAGAGGGAGAAGCAGGCTCCCCAATGAGCAAAATGCCTGATGCCCATTGATCCCACGACCCTGGGATCGTGACCTGAGCTGAAGGCAGACGCTTAACTGAATGAGCCACCCAGGCATCCCATGGGAGGGGGGATTTCTTGCGTGCAAGTGGCTTCTTCAGAGGAAAGCGTGGCTGGGCTCAAAGCATGGGAGCAAGGCGGCGGCATCCCCCCTCTCCCCATTGTCATCCACCGCACATCCCTCTTCGAGGAAGCCTTCCCAAACTCTTCCCTCTGCTCCCCTCCATCTCTCCCTGCTCCTGTGGTCAATTCTCAGACTGGGGAGCGAGGCTGAGGGACTGACGGGCAAAAGCCAGGACCCGTGCTAAACTTTTTCCTAATTGTGAAATAGTCCCGATTCATAGAAAGATAGGAACATATGTATAAAAGGCAAGTTCATCTACCCACCACTCAGCTTAAGAAAGAAATGCCAGCAATTCAGGTGAAGAACTCTCTGTTATGTCATTCTGTCAGCCCCTTCCCTCTGCCTGTCCTGGGAGGTCACCCTCCTCATCTTGGTGCGGGTTCCACTCTCTCACAGACCATACCATTTACCAGCAGACCTCGTTTTTTGGTTGCATACTTTCCGAATGGAAGGTTTGTGGCAACCCAGTGTTGGGCGAGTCTGTTGGCACCATTTTCCCAACAGCATTTGCTCACTTCCCGTTTGTGTCACATTTTCGTTAATTCTCCCAATATTTCGAACTTTTTCATCATTGTTATATTTGCTGTGGTGATCTGCGGTCAGTGATTATGACTCACCGAAAGCTCAAGCGATGTTTAGCATTTTTAGCTCTATTTTTTATTTATTTTTATCTTTTTAAAGTTTATTGATTTAAGTCATCTCTACATCCAATGTGGGGCTTGAACTCACAGCCCCGAGATCAAGAGTCACATGTTCCGGGACACCTGGGTGGCTCAGTTGGTTGGGCAGCTGCCTTCAGCTCAGGTCATGATCCCAGCATCCTGGGATCGAGTCCTGCATCGGGCTCCTTGCTTGGCGGGGAGCCTGCTTCTCCCTCTGCCTCTGCCTGCCACTCTGTCTGCCTGTGCTCCCTCTCGCTCCTCTCTCTCTGACAAATAAATAAATAAAATCTTAAAAAAAAAAAAAAAGAGTCACATGTTCCTCTGATTGAGCCAGCCAGGTGCCCCAGCAATTATTTAATTAAATGTTATTATAATATTCGTATAATTAATAATTGTCATTATTTATACATTAATATTTATATAATTAATAAGCCATAATTAAAATATTTTAAAATTAAGGTGTATACACTGGGGGTTTTTAGACCTAATGCTATTGCATTTAACAGAATACAGTGTAGTGTAACATAACTGTTCTTACAATTCTAGTATTTACATGTATTGGCATGTATGTTTTATTTTATTGGTTTTTTAAATTTTTTTTAAAGATTTATTTATTTATTTGAGAGACAGAGAGAGACAGCATGAGAGGGGAAAGGTCAGAGGGAGAAGCAGTCTTCCCTCCGAGCAGGGAGCCTGATGGGGGACTCCATCCCAGGACTCCAGGATCATGACCCGAGCCGAAGGCAGGTGCCCAACCAAGCCACCCAGGTGCCCCTATTTTTATTTTTAAAATATTTTATTTATTTGGGGGCACCTGGGTGACTCAGTGGGTTAAGCGTCTGCCTTCGGCACAGGTCATAATCCCAGGGTCCTGGGATCCAGCCCTGTATCACGCTCCCTGCTTGGTGGGGAGTTTGCTTCTCCCTCTCCCTCTGCTGCTCCCCCTGCATGTGCTCTCTCTCTCTCTCTCTCTGTCAAATAAATAAAATCTTTTTTTTTAAAGATTTTATTTATTTATTTGACAGACAGAGATCACAAGTAGACAGAGGCAGGCAGAGAGAGAGAGGAGGAAGCAGGCTCCCTGCTGAGCAGAAAGCCCGATGCGGGGCTCGATCCCAGAACCCTGGGATTATGACCTGAGCCGAAGGCAGAGGCTTTAACCCACTGAGCCACCCAGGCGCCCGTAAATAAATAAAATCGTAAACATTTTTTAGGGGCGCCTGGGTGGCTCAGTTGTTAAGCGTCTGCCTTCGGCTCAGGTCATGGTCCCAGATTCTGGGATCGAGCCCCACATCGGGCTCCCTGCTCAGTGGGGAGTCTGCTTCTCTCTCTCCCACCCCCCCTGCTTATGTTCCGTCTTTCTCTCTGTCAAATAAATAAAAAATCTTTA